TTAGCATATCAAAGCACAAAAATGACATTTTCACAGGTTTCCGGTGTGCTAATCACACAAATTATTTTTGAAAATGATAAACAAATTCAATACTTACAATCTGATGCAAAAATCGTTATCCTGGGACAATTTGTTCGCCTGCTAGACACTACAACCAAAAATTTCCCCCCACATGTGAAAATCCCACTTAACCACCCAATTTTCAACTTTAGATAGGTTACAAACGCAACTTCAGTAACAAACTAATACAACCCCACGGAGAATTTAATTTGACATCACGAGACACCGCGGGGAAATTTCTAAGCCGCCTCCCTCACAAGCTATTCCGAAAAAACTCCAACAATTTCGCTCTTCATGTGAAATTCCCACTTAACCACCCAATTTTCAAATTTACCAATATTGCAGGCGTCACTCCTGCAGCAAACTAATACAACTCGACGAAGAATTTAATTTAACACCTCTGGAGACGCCCCCTTCGCGAGTTAAAGCTAGGCAACAGTGCGGCAACTATCAAATACCCTTATCCGCATTACTACCAACAAATAAGACGCAAAGTCATCCAATTAACACAACAAGCAATAATACGATACAGTAAAAGTCGTGAGACGATTAAATGTGTAATACAATGTAAACTCTTGATAACCTTTTTTATAATGACGTAGAAATACGTACAAGAAAATTGATTTTGGGGCAAATGACTGGATGAGTTCCTTAAAACAACTAATCTTAGCAAGTATCGTTATAAAGAGTTTACACTGCATGTTATTCCACAAGCATTCATCAAATTAATTGTCGAAAAGTCCCTAAAGATATACAATTCTAATTATCAGAGAAACTAAATTTAAATCATATTTAAGAATAATAATACTAGACACGGATACACAAGTTTTAAAAATGTTGATTTACCGCACGTAAATATATAAGAATGTTCACAACAATAACAAGACAAGATGTTTCGTTCTAACCCGGCATACGATATAAATGTAAGTACAAACGCCTAACGATGCATACGCGAATAGGTGAATAAAACAGAGACAACAATTTCAAAAAATAGCAAATAGCTATATTCACCCAACGAGAAACGAACTTTAAAACCGGCAAACCTTGCATCTACAAGCGACAGACAAAAGTACTAGTTGGCTAAAAACTGTAATTACAGGCTTGTTTGGTAAATAAACTGTAATTGCGTTCTCGCAGATTTTATCTGTGGTGTAACTGGAATGACAAGCGCGAAAAATTTAATTGAACAGCTATTTTCATTAATCTTCTTCGTTGAATGCGAAATTAAACGACGTTATGTTTATTTAAATTTTTTGAGGGCAAGTTTACGAAAATGTTAAAAATGGCCGACTTTAAGGGGTGATTTTCAGGCTCTTTGCGTGTGATTTCCGGGGGCGGCGGGGGTCTATTACGTAGAGAAACTATCGCGAAATCTGAAAATGCAAACTACATTGCAATGGCGCACACGGCACACGAAATATTGAGCAATTTCCACGGCAAGTATACAAAAATGTTAAAAATGACCGACTTTTGGGCGCGGATTTCAGGCCTTTCGCGTGTGATTTTCGGGGGCGGCGGGAGTCTAATACGTAGAAAAACTATTGTGAAATCTGAAAATGCACACTACATTACAATGGCGCATACGGTTCACGAGATATTGAGCATTTACCACGGCAAGTTTACGAAAATGTTAAAAAATGACCGACTTTTGGGGGCGGATTTCAGGCCCTTCGCGTGTGATTTTCGGGGCCGGCGGAGGTCTAAAACGTAGAAAAACTATCGTGAAATTTAAAAATGCACACTACATTACAATGGCGCACACGGTTCACGAGATATAGAGCATTTTCCACGGCAAGTTTACGAAAATGTTAAAAAATGACCGACTTTTGGGGGCGGATTTCAGGCCCTTCGCGTGTGATTTTCGGGGCCGGCGGAGGTCTAATACGTAGGAAAACTATCGCGGAATCTGAAAATGCTAACTACATTGCAATGGCGCACACGGTTCACCAGATATTGAGTAATTTCCACGGCAAGTTTACGAAAATGTTAAAAAATTGCCGACATTTAGGGGCGATTTTCATGCCTTTTGCGCCTGATTTCCGGGGGCGGCGGGGGTCTAATACGTAGGAAAACTATCACAGAATCTGAAAATGCTAACTACATTGCAATAGCGCACACGGTTCACGAGATATTGAGTAATTTCCACGGCAAGTTTACGAAAATGTTAAAAAATTGCCGACTTTTAGGGGCGATTTTCATGCCTTTTGCGTTTGATTTCCGGGGGCGGCGGAGGTCTAATACGTAGAAAAACTATCGCGGAATCTGAAAATGCAAACTACATTGCAATGACTCACATGGTTCACGAGATATTGAGCAATTTCCACAGCAAGTTTACGAAAATTTTAAAAATGACCAACTTTTGGGGGCGGATTTCAGGCCCTTCGCGTGTGATATTCGAGGGCGGCGGGGGTCTAGTACGTAGAAAAACTATCGCGGTATCTGAAAATGCAAACTTCATTGCAATGGCGCGCACGGTTCAAGAGATATTGAGCAATTTCCACGACAAGTTTACGAAATTGTTAAAAATGACCGATCTATGGGGACGGTTTTTAGGCTCTTTGCGTGTGATTTCTTAGGGCGACGGGGCCCTATTGCGTAGAAAACAATCGCGCTATATTAAATTGTAACCCGCATTGTATTGGTGCATACGGTTACCGAGATATTCAGAAATTTCCACGCAAGTTTTAGAAAATGTTAAAAATTATCTACTTTCGGGGGTGGTTTTCAGGCATTTCACGTGCGATGAAAATTCAAATTTAGAGGCGGCTTAAGATACATTTGAACTCTTTTCACTACATAAATTAAATGTAAAACAAGACTAGTTATCAAAGCAATACGGTAAGATTGAAGGTAACCTGAATGTACTAACAAAACACCGATAACCAAAGCCAGAGTGTCTCTACTCCAAACAATACATACAACAATTCTATAAATCTGTCTGCGCTCCGCGAACGTAAAAAGCAACATCATAGCAAGAAGTTATGAATATTTTATAGCCTAGATCATGAATAAGTTAAAGAATTCTTTACCTTCATATTAATAGATCAGCACAGACGGGATTTTGCCACTCACGTGCGGATGAACACAGAATAACGGGCGAAATCACGAACGAAGTTACGATAAACAGCCACAAGACGCAACCACCGAAGCTAGACTAGAGTCGGCATCCCGTGTAGCCCCGAGTATGCGTGGAAAGCAACGACAATGCGCTTGGAACATGCGCATTCAACGCGACTTCAAACTTTAATTCAAACATCACAAATAAACCATATTACTGAATAGAAAAACAATTTAGAACTTTGCAAGAATGATTTGAATAAAAAAACTCTAATTGTTTATTTTGTTTGACCTATTACCTTATATACAGTTGTATTTCCGCTGATATAAAATATTCGCTCGCCACTTCTTTCAATAACATCAACGCATCTAATTGGACCAAAGTCCGCCGGAAGTAAACACTGTTTAGCACAATCGTAAGCATTAAGTAAATCAAACTGATTCCAAATTTTCACATTGTAAAAAAAAGTGATCCATTTGAACAACCAAAAACCAATGTGTTGCCATATAAAAGTATCACATACACAAGCGATTTAAATATGTTCCAAACGTCGAACCTTTTCTGATTCGGCTTGCTTTTATCACTGAGACAAACCAGTTCTAATATTTCTTGTTCTGTGTTAGTAACTGAAAAGAAATCCAGTGTTCATGGTAAAATTACATCACAAAACTATATACTTACAATAATACACTGTTATAATTATTTCATTATGAAATATCCACGAATATTGTCGACATTTGTTGATATTCTCCGGTTGGAGACAAATATCTAACTTTTTATCTATACATTGAAGTTGCACAGATGCATTCTTCTCTTGTTCTTTGTAATAAATTAGTTTTAACGTATTATTGAATAATACACAACACACATCATCAGATAGGGATGTTTTTTGTACACCAGAAGTGTTATTAGGCAACCAATGACTCAAAGAAAATGATGTAACAATTTTATAAGCTTCAGAGTTAGTTGAAGTATTTGTAAAGATTTGTAATATCAATAAAACGTTATTTTTTGTTACCAGCGAGAAGTAATTTTTATAGGCACTAAATGTCCTTGGGTAGAATTGATTTCCATATACAGCAGGAGATAATAAATTGTTTAAATCATGGATGTAAATGGCGTCTTCATAAACTATTACAATATCACTAACAATTGAAATTTTAGTGGAATCTGTAACAATTTAATATTTATAAATTAATTTCGATTGCATATTCAATTTATGTACCTGATATTAAATGTATTTTTAAAACTTCATCTTCATCATCCCCAATACTCTGAAATACATTTATACAAGACCCATTCTTGTCATAACATTTAACTAACCCATTAGCTAATCCTACTGCAATTAAATTACCTGTAAACAAACATTATAATAATGTGTATAAAGTACAATAATATAATTTTAAAAACCTATAACTGCAATGCAAGAAACATCTTCTTCTTCCTTTATGACGTGCACAGAAGAAAAATTAACATTTTCTTCAATATTTTGCCAACTAGCCCAGTTTATATACAAATCAAACCAATATTTTGAATCTTTACATGTCCCAATCCACTTTTGTTGATAATCTTCCAATTCTGACTTGGTAATGTCTTGAAAACAATGTTCCTACAACATTAAAACAATATTAAAACAATTACAGCTTTAAATATAAAAATTTACTCTAGCCACATGAAGAACCACTTCTTTCCAGACAGGATGTACCTCTGCAGCTATTTTTAACGTTTTATAATCAACATACCACAAAATATGTTCTATTACTTCCGGTGGTAGCATAACCTGTTTTATAATATATTGATTTATTTTAAATCCTACACTTACCGCCATCTAGGAATATCAAATACTAATTAGATACTGATTTAAACTATCTACAAAAAAAAACATAGATAAATGTTTTATTATATAAAATAATTTAGAGTAAAATCAGTGTAAACGTTTTTTGGTGGTGATTACGTGTCACCACAAGGATTCATGCATACACGGCAACGACAATAACAAGTCTGATCCGATTTTAACGAAACGTGGGATCCTTCATACGTTGAAACACCTTCATAGTCATCTTCATCCACAGTATCTAGTTCCTCATCACATAAAAAAGGTATTAACGTCGGAGGTGGCTTAGGTGGTTTGGCAGATATCCTGTCGACGATAATCTTCTACGGGTCACAAGATTATAGGCACACTTCAATATAAATGAATTCCTCACTTATTTAAATATTCTCACATAAATTGTAAAGATTATTGCGCATACTGTCACTACGATGGCAATTGGTAAGTAATGATATCCATGATCTAGTCCTACAGACTCAGGAGGATTCTTAAAACCAAACCGAATCAACTTGAAATGTAAATTAATTAAAAATAAAACACAAAAAACGAATAGAATTTAGTTACCAAGGAATCTATGTATGTTGGTTCAACTACTTCTGGTTCCAACGGTATAATCCATTCCAACCATGTTGAAAACTAAGAATAATAAATTTAATAACTTAAATTCTTATTGGAAAGTTTTCTTATCTTACAGAACCAAGTTGTTTTGCAGATTCGACGACAAACTTCATGACATCTTGCGCTTCTGCCGCTAGTGGGTATAAATATCCCAGGACGTGATGAATACACAAAAATAGAGTAAAAATTTCTACATAAAACATACTGCAGTATAAACAGCGCGTATGAAGTCAATAATTTTTGACATTATACGAAACCAGCATACTTTGATTGTTTTAATTTGTTTATAAACTTGTTTAACTACATGAACTGAATGAAATAAATTCAAAGTGCTAACTTATGGTATGCAACCAGCATTACACCCATCTCCCTTTTACAGGTTAATTTTAATTGGGATTTTACGTGTTTTACTTTGAAAGTCTTCCAAAAGCTGAAACTTCTGCAGGGAAATGCCTAAGAAAAAAACCGGCCAGCGTAAAAAGGCTGAAAAGCAGAAGTTGCGCCAGAAAGGCATTCGAACTGCACGCGAAAATGTCGCTTTGGCCGAGCATCCATGCAATGCTTTGATGGAATGTGAAAAGTGCCACAAGTATGTAATACAATTACTAAAATTCGGTAAATTAACTATGTATTTTTGTTTGTAGGAAGCAGAAAAGCCGTGCCTTCTGTTACTTTTGTCAGAGTGTTCAAAGGCTGCCAATATGTGCACAATGTGGCAAAATTAAATGCATGTTAAAAACAGGAGACTGTGTTGTAAGACATGCTGGAGTTTATACAACAGGATTAGCCATGGTTGTAAGTACTTTATAACTACATATTTAAGCTATGGTGATTATATATTTCTTTTTAAATATCCAGGGAGCAATTTGTGATTTTTGTGAGGCATGGGTATGCCATGGCAGGAAATGTCTGCAGACACATGCATGCAGCTGCCCATTGCAGGATGCAGTCTGCGCTGAATGCGAACGCGGTGTTTGGGATCACGGCGGGCGCTTGTTCAAGTGCTCATTTTGTGATTCTTTTCTCTGTGAAGATGATCAGTTTGAGCATCAAGCAAGTTGTCAAGTATTGGAGTCGGAAAATTACAAATGTAAGTGTAAATCAATCAAAAACTTTTAAAATACAATTTTGAATTATCCAGGTCAAAGTTGTAACAAAATGGGTCAATACTCCTGCTTGCGTTGCAAGACATGTTACTGTGAGGACCATGTGAGGAGGAAAGGCTTCAAATATGAGAAGAACAAAGCGATTCCGTGCCCGAAGTGCGGATACGATACATCGCAGACTAAAGATTTGAGCATGTCAAGTAAGTAACTCAAATTCTTTAGTAATCCGAACTAAAATTTACTTACTTGTTCATTTTCATAGCGAGAAGTCACAAATTCGGCAGGCAAGGCCAATCGACCTATTCGTACGGTGACGATGAGGAAGCTTACGGTGAAGGTGATGGTGCGTCGTACAGCTATGGCGGCTATGGAGGTAATTACGACGATGATGACGATTTCGAAGAGGATTCCGATGAAGATGACTCGGATGAAGACGAATCGGAGGAGGAATCCGATGGCGACGCTGCCGGCGAAGAAAAAAAGAAATAAAACTGTAAGATTACTAAAAAATTAGTAATAAGTATCCCAATACTTAAATTAAATTCAGGAAGTTTCATTTTATGACAGTAAGTGCATGTTAGCGCCATCTATGACCCAAACATTGAGTTATTCGTATGATCCCTGCACAGCGCAAGTCACTGATCGGTGTGAAACTAGTTACACACAGAAAATGAACATGGAGCTTCACTGCTTATACATATTCATTTGACCAACTAGTCATACTGCCCGATTTGAGCTTCTTTTGATTTAACTCAATGCCTACTGTTTTACACTACCAAAAAAACACCAACGACACAAACAAATATTTTATCGCAGTGCCATCTCTATGCGAATTATGTTAATTGCAATCATGATAGAAGACAGATTAAATTTTAACATAAATCATTCTATTACTTCTTAATCATACTTGAACAAAACGTTCAACAAATTTTTGAATAAACTTTCTTCCATCATTGCAAATATATAAAAAGGCAACTTAAACATAATAAATAATGTTGCAATATAAATATGCGCGCGACATAATCAAAAAAATCCTAAACTCTCCGCTCATAATAACCATGCTAAAACGAATTCTTGAAATCCCAACAACTCTTAATCAATATTGCCGATTCTTTTTGGCAGGTGGCGCGTCGTCCTCATCCTCGAACATCTCGTAGGCATATTCCGGCAGCCACTTTTCCAATTGCTCATCAAAGAACTTCTCCAGATTGGAAGCATCGCTGTACACTTGCGAATCGACCTAAAATACAATTATTTCATTTGTAACTGCATATTGGTTGATTATATTGATCGGACTCTTACAGCGTTGAAAAGTCGTGCGTTTTTGAACATCAGACGCACATCCTTTACTAATTCTTCCAGAGATTTATAGTGTTCCGTGCGATTCCAGTCGAGTTTCTGTCGGATTGTGTCCAAGGCAATTGGCGATGTTATTACTTCATGATATGCTTGATTCTTGCACATGGAAATTAATTAGTTAATAATTAAAACAAAAATTTTGATTTTTTTCACTTACTTCTTGCCCGATAATCTCTCTAAATGGTAAACTGAGTTCATACTGACAGTATAACTCTAAAATAATCCTCTCGGCGAGTTTCCGTTGACGTGGCGAAAGATCATTATCAACTCTATCGCCTGTATCCGGAATATCAGCAAAGTTTAAACAAAGCAAACACTGCCAAGTATCACTTTCTCTGTAAAAAAAAAATTAAAATTACACTTGTAAATTATAGATTTAATTGTAATTTTAAAAACTTACTCAACACTTAAATTAGGAATGTGACAAAACTGATGGAAAACCTTCGGGCATTTGTCACAGCACACCAATTCGCCACCATCCATACACACAGCGCACCAGTCTTCATTTGGATCATCTTTTTCCAAAGTTTCATTGGCTTTCTTTCCACCTACATCTCCGGTGGAACTATCCACGTGTGGCGAACTACCTTTCGCTCTATTCTCAGCCAGGACTTGCACTCCATTCGAATCCAACTTGGCAATGGTCGCCATTAAATCATTAACAGATTCTTCACAGAATTTATCCAGACTTTTTTCTGGATTAGTCTAAAAAACATCCATTAAATTATTAAAAACTTTTTTTTTTTTTAATTTGTAAATAATTACATCGTTATGTAGATAATTCGAATTCGGACTTGGCGTCTTCGGATTGGTCGACGTAACAGAGGCGGCGCTATGCTGCGGCTTCAACATAATCTTATAGTTGCTATTGAGTGTCGGTGTGGCAGGCATGTACTTCTGCGGAGCCGCGCCATCAGCATTCACTGCCGCTTGCGGAATATGCCACTTGCCACCAGGTGGCATTGGAAAATTCGGTCTATTCTGCTGCATGTGCGCCTGCGGGTGTGTCCCATACGCAGGCGGTCGCTGCGTTGGGTAGGGATACCGCGCGCCTGTGTTATTCATCGGTAAAGGCCCGCCTTGTGCTGCTGGCGGCTGTTGTTGTTGCTGTTGGGGGCGGTAGGCGGGGCCCTGCGCACGATTCTGATAGTGCTGGACGTATTGCGGCTGCACGGCTTGATACTGATTCGGGCCGGTCTGAATATACACGGCGTTGTTGCCGTTCGGTTGCAAGAGAGTACGCAAGTTGGTTTGAGGGTGCGTTGATGATGATACCTTTAAAAGATTACGTGAGAATTTGATTTTCTATAAAACAATACTCATCATCAACGTGACGGAAAATAATTGATATTTATTGAATTGAAATTGAACTAAATCGAATATTGCAATAATGTTGATTGAGATTTGACTGCTTGTCAATTTTGTAAATGTCGTTGCAGTTGATGTGGAAGCGCACTAATGTGTTTGCGTTTAAGACTGCCCGATGGCAAGTGCTAGTAAAACCAAAATAAAGAAACAGAATCAGAATTCGAAATTCCGCGCGACAGGCGTGTGACACTCACCTGCTGATTCATAGGCGGGCCAGGCATGCGCGCATGCATTTGGGGCGGCATATTTGGCTGACGTAATTGCTGAGGCGGCTGTTGTGGTGGCATATGTGGCACACGATGCATGTGCTGGCCTTGTGACAATCGACTCAACGCATTCATCGCGCTAACTTGAAGCGCACCTTGGAAATTAAACAAAAACAATCAATTTATTAGAAAAGTTTCAATATTGCCGACTAGGCAACCATCAATACATGCATGTATTAATGGTTTGCCGACTAGGCAACCATCAATACACGTATGTATTAATGGTTTCCTGTATTTAAGGCTCTTACCATGAACTTGTTGCTGTTGCATTTTTGATAGATTCTGTATCGGCGTCTGATGCTGTTTCATTTGCGAATGTCCCATGTTATGCTGCTGTTGCATCATTTGGTTCTGATTCTGGACGTTTTGATATTGCTGTTGCATTTGATAAGGCGCCATCATTCTTTGCTGTTGCTGCTGCTGCTGCTGAATATACGGATTGTTATTCATTTGTTGAGGTATTGGCGGTCCTTGTCCTTGAGGAGGTTGCTGATTCGGCACGTGTGGCACATGAGGGCCTGGCTGGCCGGGCAGACCAGGCGATGGGGAATTTTGCGGTGTGGCAATTGACGGCGACTGCGAATTCGCAGGATACACACGTCCGTCCACGATTATCTGACCGATTCCACCGATAACTAATCACCAAACAATTCAAATTAAAACAAATCGTTTACTATAAGCGGAAATTCGTATTTTACCGGTGTCTAATCCTGATTTAGCATTGATTAAATTTTAAAAAATCGTTATTAACACGGTTTTGATAAGAATTATAAAGTTTTTACCTTTTATAATATCCGAAACTTTCTCCAGAGCCAAATCAATCCGTACTGGAATTTCTGGGTTGGGAATATCGGCCCGGCGTGATTTAATTCGCTGCAGGTGGTTCGCCAGGTGTCGCTTTGAGTATAGAAGAGCATTATCATTACCAAAATCGAGAACATTTCGCGTGAAAAGTATACAATGATCAGTCATTTGCGACAGGTGATCGAGCGCCACTTTCTTCTCATCTAAAGTTTTATGTTTCGACTCGCTTATCTCATTTAATCGCGAGACAAGTTGTTTTCCACGCTGAGTTATCGTATTTGTTAATCTAAACATAAGAAAAAACGCATAAAAACTCAAAATTTTTCATTTTTTGATAAAATTATCACATTACCTAACAACTAATTGTGTAATTTGTTGAACCAATGATTGTTTCTTCTCGTTGATCAATCCCTGACGGTCATCTATTACTTTCATTGCACTTGAAAGTAATATTCGCTTATAACTACAAAAATATCAGTTAAAAACCTAATAAATGACCACATCAAATAAATATTATAAAAATAAATTACAACTCACCTAATATCAGTTAACATAGAATTCAGCACCTTTCGACAATCCGCCGCAATTTCATGCGTGAATTTATACTTATGATCGCGATGTTCGGTGAGCTGACAATCGCGACACGTCAACTTGTCGCAGTTCTCACAGAACAGCGAAAGACGCTCATGCGGATGCATGGAACAATACAGCGGAGTCTCACCCGTATTGCCGCCGGTTTGTTCCTGAATACCTTCGTCCTTGTGCTTGATTGTGTGATCCTTGGTGATTTTTAGCCTCTGGTGTGCTTGCACGCAATTATCACAAATAAATTCCGAACAATCCACGCACCAACTGGACGCTGGCGCTTCATCACTGCAACTACTGCATTTTATATCATCAAATTTGTTGGCATCATCTGAAGAAGCATCATTGAGGAATTGATTCTCAATGATATTCTTTGGGTCCATGTAAAAGCCACAAATTCGGCAGTAGACTTCTGAAAATTGATAAATTTATAAGAAATTTTCATTAAAAAAAAAAGTAGATTTTGTTTTTACCTTTAATATCTTGTTGTGGGTCTTGTATCTCAAGCAATTTTTGATCAATACAAGGCCCACATGCATTATGTAAGCACTCGAGGATTTTCGGACGGTCTTTGCTGGTGAGAGTGATCTCACAGAAGACACACTTGAAGATATACCCTTCTTCAGTTGGTGTGGTAACACTTTCAGCAGGTTGCACACCTTCATCATCTTTATGACTGGATTGGCCTTCACCTCCATCAGTCTGCATTTGCATCTCATCGGAAATGTACTTAGCTTCCTCCCTCTCTACCCGCATTTGTTCGTTTTCTTCGTTGCAACCCTCTGGAGCCTCAAGAACACCTTCACTTTCTTCCACGTTACCAGCTTGTTGTTCCTGCGCGTTGTGTGCGTTTTGAGTGTCTATCATCTCAACATTATATTCCCGCGCTTCAGGCAGCGGAGAGTCTTCGAAGCAGGACGCGGGTATATTTTCCAAAGGGATCAACATTTCGTTATTCAACAGCACCTGTTCAGCCATGGCGAACGCAGAATAACACCTTGCAAGATGCACTTTTATTTGTTAATAGTCTATCACTAGTTTTACGTCGAACTTCACTGGTTCGCGCACTGTGCGTAAGAGTTATCATTGATAATAATATAAATGATCATGTACGCGAACGCGTTGTGTTTATACATTGCAACTTAAAAAATAAGCGCTCGAGCGAGAAGGCCGACGCTTAACCGCGAACGCCATTTGCAAATATTTTTGACTCTTTTTTGACAGCCCTCTTAATCTTATTTGAATCTCATTTTCTATGAAATACTTACACTAAAATGTAGTGAGGTAATAATTATAACTTGTTATTGTTATTTATTATTGCTATAAACGTAAACTGTAATATGTATTGCCATGACATTTACTTTAATTAATATAATTTGAAACTATTGCAGTTGGCAGATGTCAAAATGGGCGGCAATCAAATACCGTTCGTACACTCGTGTACTATCGTCTAGTCGACGCATGCGCAGCACCGCGACAAACAGAAACATCGTGAAATATTCAAAAATCAACCCTCGGCAAAATTTCCACATTGATATTTTGTAAAGATTGCAATAGAATCAGACGACCAATTGATAAGATTTGGTCAAGATTGAGTAAATCGCGCGCGCCGCCGACAAATGGTGGGGCGCGCAGCGCGTATCTCTTCCGTTTCCTGCCCAAATCCTGCCCTTCCAGAGATACATACAAGCCAACACAGGCGACGAGCGTTTGACAGCGCGGTGTCGGCGTTTCTGAGTACACAGTACATGAGTGTGCTTCTTGTCCAGTTACCAGCCAGCCGCGTTCCGCACGTCTCGCCGCCACACATCGCCGCAGGCCGTTCAGACTCGCTCCCGTGTGCAGAGGAGGACAATTTGCGTGAAAAGGCGCGATCGTCGCGTGTGCACATCGACCGCATCCGCTCAGCTCGAGGCCGAAGGAATAGAATGCCGTCGGCGGCCAGCGTCAAGATCGAAAAGCCGGCGGGTGCCGCGACGGCCGACAATGGTCTCGTCGACAACGCCAACGTGACGCCGCTGCGGCAGGCGATCACCGTCGTCGAGCACAAGATACGGAATCTGGAAAAGCGCAAGGTAAGCCGCCCGGACAGCCTCCATGATGACACATGAAGCGCGTGCAAAAACACGCCGTGTGCGTACACTGTTTGTATTCCGTCGTGCATATCGCTCCGCCATATTTCGCTACGTTTTTTTCTTCTCACTCTGACGCATACCAATTTCATCATATCATGCGTCATATTTATGTTAGGTTCACCAAGTTAGGTTATGTTGAAAATTTGACATTTGTATTGATATTGTTACAGTCAAAATTAGAATCCTATAAAGATCTCCAAAAATCCGGCAAGGATCTAAATCAGGACCAGAAGACCGCCATCGCCAAGTATGACGAAGTAATTACCACGCTCGACTTTGCGAGAGACTTGTGCAAACAGTTCCTAAGCATTGCTGTGGTTAGTGAGAAGGACGACAAGAAGAAAGCACGCAAAGAAGCGTTTGCAAGGAGTCAGGCTGAGTTAACCAAGGTTAATACTTAATGTTTTCATGGGAAAACAATAGATTTACTTGAATATTGCTTGTCTAGGTCCGTGAAGTATTATTAATTCAAGATGCGCTCTCGAATATGGGACAAGAGGTAATCCGAGACGATTTCCTAAACGCTAGAAATGGAGCAGCTCAATTGACGCAGGCAGATATCAAGTGAGTTCTTGTTTAGAATTATACTCATAAATATTCATTACACTATGAAATTGTTTGTTTATAGATTATTGGATGATTATTACACTGTGGTGACACCGAAACATGAAGCCGGCGACCCGACGGCGTTCATGCCGCAAGTGCAAGCTGCCGCTGAGCATCTACTTGCCGCCATTGACGGAAAGAGTAAAGAAGTTTTCGGTTCAACATACGCGAACGTCAAGGAAGTGATTGGTAAGGTGCACGAGAGTGGATACCTTGACCAGGCTGTTGAAACATATGATGAGAACGCGATTGAACCGGAAATGTTGACGGAGACGCCCGCTGAGCCTGTAATGGAGCAGCAATTGCTGCAGCCTGTCATGGAGGCACCCATGTTGGCCGCGATGCCAATCGTAGAGCAGCCACCGATGCAACAGCAGCCCATGCAGATGGAGCCGCCGATGCAGCCGGTGGTTCAGGCACAACCAGTTCCTGACCAGCAGATTTACTACCAGCAACCACCTCCTGCGCCTCAGCAGCGACCCATCGCCGAGGTCATCGGCACTGGGAGTTTCTTCTTTTTACAAGACTCTGAGTTAGACACGCCGCCAGAACAAATACCTTCGCAAACATTCACAAACCAGACTTATGTGGGCGCACCGCCACCACCGATTCCGATGCCGCCGCAATTCCACCAACAGTATCAACCGAATCCACAAGCCCCGCCGCAACAACCGATGCCTCCTCAGCAACAGCAGCAACCACCCCAACAGCAACAACAGCAGCAGGTTCAGTCTTCGCCGCCGATGCCAGCGCCACCTATGACGAAAAAGAACGGATACGGTGATCATCAACCTGAGCATCAGCAGGATGAGGTCGTACGGCATCGCGGGAATAATAATCGACACCATCAGCAGCGCTCGAACATCACTACGCATCATCAGACATTTTTCGCCAACAACAACGGCTACAATCCACGGCCTAACCGGAATCGCAACAACGCACCTAGACTAAACAATCGACAGAGCAACAACAACCAGCAACAGCCACCACAATAAAAGCGACGAAGTAAACCAATGAAGAACACCACCTATTTGGGGACGGATACAATGCGTTGACTCGGCTATATCTCAATCGCGTCATTTTTCTCACTCACTTTAGCTACTCGTCCGACATTTTAACGCTTGAACAACGCACAAGGTGATTGACGACTCCATAAATTCAATGCAAGATCAAACGACAAATCTATATACCGAGATGTGATTTTCACGAAGCAGCAAGAAAGTCAATTTAAAACTAAATATAACACTACTCTATGACTAGCTAGGTTTTAAATTGCCAACATACGTTTTATTTAAATGTAATCGCAACCATTTAATTACAATTTAATTATTTGCCCCCCATTTTGTTTGGAGACTTGAATTTCTAGAGTCGAAGGTTGGTAAAAGGTTCGCCTGGCGTTATAGTTTCTCGGAAATTACTGAAGCAGTATCATTGATTGTAAATTCTTTACCATTTCCAATTATTTTTATATGCCACACACTGGATTATGTTCTTTAGTTTGTTTCGATTGTAAATTCTTTCGCATTAGCATTTAAGTTCTCTCTTTATAATTGATTGGAGACTATGAAACACTTTAGTCGTCAAAATAATTGAAAGAAATATTTCGAATGCAACTCAGCCGTCGCATCCAATAAATATTTTCAAATTCTACGCCGTGGAATGTTTGTAAACCTTTGGAATTCCAAGCAATGTGGTTTATCTTGTTTATTGATAAGTTTTTTTTTTGTATGCAACACTTTTTACACGAAGTATTTACATACATTCGTTGTTTTCATAACAAAATGATTCCATGACATCTTGGAACAGTCAAAAATTGAAATTTCATCCATGCACCCATCGAATCACCAAAATTAATCACGGTTTAGCAAAATTTGCACAGAATGGTACGCATTTTGTGTATTTTCATGTGTTAACTCTCCCAGAGTGACTCTTAACCTTAAAATTGTTATAAAATCCTTGATATTTTCTGTTTTATAGATGAATTGCGCAGTTATTTTCAAAAATGCCCTTCGATTCGGTCTGTCCAATTTCAAACTGCGCAAGTAAGTGCAAAATGATAAATATTTACGTTTATTATCTGTAAAATTTTAGTTGCAGGTCACTGCAGAGTAAAGCCAAGCAAAATTACTATGAAATACTTAATCTGAACCAAAATTGTAGCAGCAGGGACATCAAACGTGCTTATATTGATTTATCAAAAAAGGTAACACGTTAATTTATTAAGTAAATAAAAAAATAAACTCAAAAGATTTGGCCCATGAGGGGATCGAACCCGCGACCTTCGCGTTATTAGCACGACGCTCTAACCAACTGAGCTAATGGGCCAGTTGCAATGCCTTAGAAAACTAAAAGTTTTGAAAATCTCATAATAAAAGTTTAAATTTTGCAGTATCATCCGGATAAAAATGGCCATGTTGATTCTCAAATGTTTCTGGACGTCTCCGAAGCTTACAGTGTACTAAGCAAAAAAGATCTTCGACGGGATTATGATTTAGTGATGTTTCCTCGACGAAAAATGAAACGTGATATGTATTATAACCAAGGCATAAACGAAATCAAATTCAAACGAAAGTAATATCTTATTATTAACAAAAAATAATTGGATTTTTATTAATTTAATGGGTTTTTTTATAGTCCAATGGATGATCCATCGTTTTTCCGAAACCGGGACAAGAGTAAAGATAAATTCTACGAATCTAAACCATATTATGGCATCAAGGGACTGCCTCGCATGTCGAATTCTGTGATTTTAGTTGCGGTGTTGTTAATAATGGCTGTGGGAATGACTGCACAAGTTTTAGCAATCCAGTAAGATTAAATTTAAAATATCCTTAATAAAAATTGATTTTTTTTGTGTTTTTACAGATATTCTGTGACCTTTCGAAGGGATGAATTAATGTACCAATCAAATATGGCGAATCGAAGTTTAGAAAAGGCTAGGCAAACCGCCGAACAAAACGGTAACCAAATGCAACTCGCAATTCTAGAAGAGAAATTCCGTAGTTTAGAATAAATTATCGTAGAACCAAATTAAGCATGTAAATATATAAATTATTGACATAAAAATAAATTCAAGTTGATTTTCGAATTATTCTGTTGCCTGATGATGACGAATTGATTGTTTTACCATATTTCTCGATCGTAGCAGGGCATGACAAACAAAAGCACCGTTTATTTTTCATAAACAATTCCTCACAATGCTGTCCGACGACTGACGTATTGCACCACATCGAAAAAATGTGTGAAAAATTTTTGTAATATTTTCGTTTTGGTTTTTACACACAAAAGAATACGAAGCACATACGCATACCAACAACGCCGACCACCACCACCGTACCACCTTCGGGATGGACGTCTTTTTGAAATTTTTAATCTTCGGTGGCAAGTATCTCTCGCAGCTGACGGCACAATCAATTGTTGAAGCGTACCGCCGTTCGGTACAACTAGGCCGTGCCCTTACCTTGAATGCAGAACACGCTGTGGTAGTGGTAAGCCATTATGACAACGTGCTAGAGTTATACCAGAAGAATCTCGAAGAGTTTGAAGCGCTGCCACACGCCCATCTTGCTTTTATCAGCGAACAACACCGGCAGGAGTTTGAGGCGTTTATGCACGACTCTGGTTTAGTCTCCGAGGAAGACATGTTGGTGTTGTTCAAACATGGCACCGCTGCAGATGGCGAGGTTGCTTCCATAGGGTTGACCTATGCCCAACAAATGACACAATCTATTCTGGGAAGTTGTGGTCCATCAAAAGCAACTCCTCGTACAGACTGCACAGATTCTGTATCTGAAGACATACCATTTGAAGACCCAGTTGATGTTGATTACACTAATCAAGAAAATGTCAAATCATATAATTGTCTATCACCACGTCCAGTCCATGCTTTCTCCATATTTAAAGAGACAGAACCCGATGGGGCCCTGAATTCAGTTGCAGAATATCTAGATCGGCAGGCAGAGTACATAAAATGCGCCAATGACACTTTCAAAGAACTCCAGGTGGATATTGCGAATAAATACGCGCAGATGCAAGCACAAGCAGTGAAGCAACATGAAGAGGACTTAGAACGTGAGAAGGCTTTCGCCCATAAACTCAAAACGGTGCAACAGGAAGTGGAAAACTGCACAAAACTGATGAAAAAGGCACAGAATCACTTTGACATTGACGATGAAGATCACAAAACAAAGAGGTTATTTGGTAGCATTGATAAGATTATCGAGGACGTAGAATCCATCACTCAGTTGATGAAAGTCAACGAGGAACACTTTGAAAAGTGTGAGAATCTTAAACTGATGCAGGAAAAAGGTTCCACAGATGTAGATTCTTTGCAGGTGATGGACGCTAACCTCCAAGCTTATAATAAATTTGTTTGCCAGAATCTAGGTCAACAAGTGAAGCAATATACCAGGAATACCTTGCCGATGTTACCTGCAGTTTCTACATCGGGACTAACACCTATTGAAGATAATATTATGAAATTTCTTAGTAGAAATAAACACACCGATACAGAACGTGAGAAAATCATGGAAATCAATCAAAAAGAGTTTGAAAAAGCGGAGAAAACTCTAAAGTATCCTTTGATAGGTCGGTGGAATAATCACCTAAAGAAATGTCGAAAGACAACGAATCTTACTCGTGAGAAAGACCGGAAAGCACGCCGGAAGCGAAATAATCTCTCGATTAAAAAGTCCTACAAAGGTTCTAAGTCCTGGATGAGCCGATCAAGATTCCTAGGGACGTTTCCTTATAAATCTGCTGATGATATGCGAGTGTCCAACTTTGCAGCGTTGAGTACCACGTGGATTAATGATGAACCCGATGCAGGACCGATGTATAACATCAATAATGCAATCACGCGATTTATCAACAGACAATCAAAACCCAATGTTTCTCATATTGAGAAACATCGTACGGTTGATGAGAGTCTGATGGTGGTTGATGAGAAGTTAGATTATTTGGTAGAAAAACTCCTGGATAACATTGATGGTAATGTAGAATCTTCAAAGATGCCGGAGAATGCCCAAGGCAATAAGTTTGTTGGTTTGTACTCTGCGAACGCAACGGACGAATTGAAAATGAAGGCGTTTTCTGAAATCAAGAAGGAGATTGTTAGCAATCTTCAATGTTTAAGGGACATGCAGGTAAGCGAGAAAGTGGACCCAATTGCTCATGATATCGGACCAATTCGTGATTATTCAAATATGGGAGCGCAGATTCAACAGGCTGTGGATGTAGATTATCTAAAGTCGGAATCTGAGTCTCCTGTTTTGTTTGATGGTATTCCCGTGGAGTTACCTTCGGATGACTTTGATACCGCCATGGATGAATTCACTGCGCAGGTTGCTAGGAACAACTCTATGCAGAAGAGGAGTCATCAGGCGACAGAGTCTGAGATTCGTGAATTGGAAGCGGTGAGGCAAATGGTTTCCGAGGAAGCTGTCAAACATCAAGCTGCATTAGAAGATGTTCGTGTTGATGCTGGACTGGAAGCGCAACGTATTGAAGCAAAACGAGCTCTCCAGGCTGCAAAAGTTGCTCGGAAAGAAGCTGCGTTTGATGCTTCGAAGGTTGCCTACCAGAAAGCTCTTGATGCAGAAAGAGTAAATGATAATACGGTCCGTATTGATATTACTCAAGATACAAACGTATCTTCAACTTTTCAACCACGAGTTGTCCACACTGTCAGCGATGATATTTGTGATATTTGTGCCGATATCAATTTTGACCCGGTGCAGATAGAGATTGAAGCACCTAGTCAAGTTCGACTTCATATTTCACTCTCTCCAGATGTTGATCAATCTGCAACTGTAGATTTGATTGAAACTGTTGCTCCTCATCACAGAGAACACAACGAAATCAACGCGAAGGCTTTGATGAAGGATATCCTCACAGAAATGAATGAAAAAGAGGCTGTGTATGACTGGCAGACTAACAATAAACTACTACAACTTGCTCGGGAGATGAATCATGCTGCAGCGATTAAAAACCGACATTGCAAGGAACAACAAGCTGCTGGTAAGCAGCTGCATGAAATCATGAACATTGATAATGTTGAAACTGTGATTGAAAGCACACCTAGTGCCAAACAATCTTTAGCAGAACTTAAAAATCATGAATCTAACGATCCTGCTAATTTAAATCTTACTATGAATACCCTGAAGTGGGTTAATGAATTGATTCATCGGAATAATGATAATCCCATGCTGGGCACAGATGGAACCTCTGTGAAGAACGTGAGTGTGTTTAAGAAGAGCCATGCTGAGACTAAGAAAAGATGGAATAAATGGAAGAATCTTCAGCCTAAGTATAGAAAAGTTAAAAAATCTTATACGGTAGTCAAGACTAGAAACAGTGAAATTACCCTTCAGGATATGATCAATGGAGGATCACGAATATTGAATTCTTCGGTTGAGAAACTCCCGGGTACAAGACATATCAGCTTCAAGAAGAGTTCAGAAAATGTTGTAAAGAGGTTGAAGCCTTCTACTGCATGCACCACTTTACGAAAACAATCTTCAGATATAAAATTGATTCCGATGAATTTACTACGTCCGAATATACAGCAGCAATCAGCCAATGATGATGATCTAATAGATAATAAACTGAGGTTGACTGAGAAGATGAAGTCGTGCAATTTGAATCAGTATCGCGTAGAGAGTGCAAAGGCTTTTAAGCCAGTAAAATTTGAAGAAACACCAAAAGAAGAAGTAAAAATACAGGAACCATCAACATCTACGAAGAAACCTATGTATACTGTACATTTGGAGAAGGTAACTGAGGGATCTTCCATTAAATCTGTGTCCGACAATCAAGCAATTCAATTTTTCAAGCAACCAAAAAAGAATTCTTTGTTTTTGGATAAAATTCCTGAAGTACCTGAAGATAAAGGTAGAGATTTGAAGATTACCCTGGTTCAAACTTCAGTAAAACCAGAGAAATCAGAAAAGATTGCTAATACTGAAGAAGTCACCGAAAATGGTACAACGAAAATAAACGAAGTGAATTCTTTTAATGCAATGTCAAAGATTAAAGCTATCAGGAAAACTTACGAGAAGAGTATGAGGAGGTCTTTGAGAACAGCTGTGCTTGCTCCAGATGTTTCCCGAAAGGATGCTTATACATCCCTGAATCAGAACCTAGCACAGAAGCTGATGCCAAAGGACCCAAAGTCAAAAAACTCCCACAATGCTTCAATAGATGCAGTAAACCAACAAACAGAAGCAGGATCTGCAGTCAAAGCTCAAGCTCAGGAAATACCACCAGCCCCACCACCAACACCTCGTTCTCCACGTAAGACACAGTCGTTTTTTCCGGCGAAAGCAGTAAAAACTGAAGCGCCTGTAATTTCACTCAAACGATTTCAATCTCAGACTGAGCAATTGTGTGCACCGTCAACCGAACAACTTCGGGAGAGTGCCAAGAAGAAAAGGTTAGAGAAGTTGCATAACTTGGCAATAAAACCACCTAAACCTGTGGAGACATTGTCCAGACCCTCAAAATCTGAAGATTCTATCCGAACTAAAGATACTATATCAATGGATTCTTATAACCCTGAATCACAAACTAGACTTGTCCAAATAACACCTACTTATATCCTTGAAGAACCAATTGGTAAAAAGAAGAAAGTTTATGAGCCTTCGACGAATCCTTATGAAACTGATAAGGACATTACTGTAAATATAAGAATTCCTGAACAAGGATCCATGGAGGATGTGTGTGATTACGATGTGACCTACAAGCATGAGGTAGCTGATGTGAGTATGGCTAATCCATCAAATCAAAAACATATAGATCCATTGATTAAGCGAGCTGTGGAGACTTACCACATGGCGAATAATGAGGAAAGTTTCAAACGTAGTCAAATTGGATCAAAGTTTTTGATTGATTATGATAAATCTGTGGCGAAATCTGAGAGTTTTGGAATGAGAGGACCACAAAATGCGACGGATTCAATTGCGGATGATGTGTCTATATCGATTAATATTGAAGAATGTGACCAGCGTCCCGAATGTGTTTCTGATGCTGATTTGGGTCATAGAAATAGATACATGAAGCATCTGCAAAGAAGGAATCAATCTTCTGTGAGTGAAAGTCGCTTGACACCTCCTCATTCAAGTTATGCCAAGATGAGACCCAGATTGGATCAATTACCGGATCTGGAGGTGATTGCAGAACAAATCGCTTCGGAAAACAACTCCAGAAAAGAACAAGCTGCAGCAGATTTACGTGCAAAGTCTGAGGAGAATAGTGAGACGGATAAAAGTTATCTGAACGTAAAGGGAATAATTTCACCAAGGGACATGATGGAGCCATCTTGTGCTGCAGTAAAAACACCTCCACAGCCTGTGGAAAGTGATCAAAGACCTCAAAAATATAATTATTCTAAGGATGAATTTAAAACTCAGGATATGGATGATTATGCACCAATGGCAGGTGCAGATATGAATTCTATTGATGAAGATCCCACGGGAAAAGTGGAGTTGTTGAATCCACATACGCATGAAAGGGTTTTGTATAATTTTTCGACTGATGATTCACATGCGTCCCTCTCACATGCAGAGAATTACCAGAAAATAAACGAGAATAATGTCCATGCTATTCAGGAGAGAATTGATAAAGATGACAAGGTGAGGACTACCTCGTTAAGTAATACACCTGCATTGACCAAACCTAAATCAAAAAATAGCGAATTGAATTATCATTCACAGATGCAACACTCGCCAATGCCGCATAGACCGCCTATGAATCCATCGGAACTTGCAAAGCATAAGTTCCCCATTCCTGCACCACGGTTGAAATTTAATCCCAAGGCTAAAGTTGAAGAAAAAGCAAGCGTTGAATTAACTGAAGGCATTAAAGAAGCTGGAGTGTCTTGCAATGTAGAACCTGAAATAGTTGCTAATAAACCTAAACAATTGAAGCAGGTATCTAATAGTCCTCAACCAACTCCTCGAATGGAGTCTCAGAATATTTCAGTAGAGCCTGTGAAGAAAAAACTAAAACCAACGATGATTAGGAATAAATCTTTGGATAAACCTTCTGAATCTGTACCGCCAATACCGTTGCCTTCTGAATCTAATAATGTAATGTTGAAACCTCCATCAGAATCATCACCACGTGAAAAATCTATAAAAATGATTAAGATACCAAAAGGTGAAATGAGAAAGAATGTGGAATTTAAAGAAACACCTCAGATTAAACGTGCGACAACTGCGCCGGTAAAAACAACTACTACTCCTCAAGTAGAAGCTAAAGATGACTTGATAGTTGAGACACTTTCAATAAGGCAACAATCGCCCAGATCACCTCGATCACATAAATTTGTTCTACCTCGGAAAACACCCAAATTCGCTCATAAATCAGAAAGGACATTGAATCAGAACAATGCACGAAGTGTTAAGGTTGAAGCACCAAGACCCAATTCCAAACATGCAAAAACAATGAATTCACTCAAAGATAAGTCTTCTGTACATGCAGAATCTAAAACTGAAGCAAAGAATGTGGAAACATTAAAAAATCAGAAAGAAATTCAACCTGTGTTGTCTGCAACATCGAAAAGTTTGGTTAAAATTGATCCTTCAACTGCTTCTAAACCCTATGTTGATATGTCGGCTGTGGCTGGTGATATGATACGCACGGGAGCCAATATTCAGTATTTAAATGAGTTGAGTTCTGAGTTGAAAAACTCTGTTTACAATGATTTACTGGAGAAATGTTATCCGAAAGAGAAGCAGCAGTCTGATGATATGAAAACATCGAAGGATATCATCAAAATGCAGGCTTTGTTGAAGAACGCTGAACCTTCTCAAGTAAAACCGAAAGTGGTAAACAAGACGCAACCCAGTTCAACTGCTGGTAGTCCCAGGGGACCTCGTTCTGGTATGGTTTACGAAAAAGCGGAAACACCTGAAACGTTTTTCATTCAGCCTGCTGTCAATACAAATGTAAATAACAACGAAAAGTTAGTAAAACAAACATTCCCCAAGCTAGAGAAAGTTTCATAGCTGTTGATGAACTCCCAGCATCTGCAAAACCAGTAATCAAAACCTACAGCAAGAAGGTGATTGATAATTTAAGAAATATGAAGAAGGAACTCATAGAAACTCCAAAAACAGCTTCTAATAGGAAGGAAGTGAAAAGTGACAGTGTTCTAAAGCAGAAACAGACTGAGAAGAAGGCAAAAGTGCAAGCCAAATATGAAGGAGGTTATGAGTTTCCAGAGGTTATGAAGTTGAAGGCTAGTGAACGTGAACGTAACCTCAAACGATTGATTATCTTGGAAGAGAAGATGAAAAAGTTGGAAGCCAAGCGTTCGACAAAAATCGGAAAGGAGGTGAATTCTCCGTTAGATAAGTCTTTAGCGAATGTCCTTGATGATATGCGTTATAAAAATCTTCAAAGTATCCTGAAACTACTGTTAGACGGATTGGTACCTTTAAGGAAACCTCTGCAGCTGGAACACAATATCGTAAAAGCTATAGTAACATCAACTCTAAGGAAAATGAAGGTGGAAGGTCAAGAGATGGAAGAAAACAAAGATCCATGAGTAAAGGAGCAAGTCAAAGTGAAGATTTATCCCCATCTAGAAATTCTGAAGTGAAGATTCCACGATTGCATGCAAGATCAGCTTCTGCCCCGATTCCAAAGAAAATAACTAAGCAGGAACAGGAGACAGAAAAGAAAGTTTCTGGTAAGAAGTCTGAACCTATGGAGGAGTTTATCTCAGTTCCCAAGTTGAATATCAAAGGTATAAAGAAATTGAATTCGACGACATCTAATACCACAGCACCACCAACAGAACAACAACCAAAGATTAACCCTAATCCAAAGACCTATGAGGAGGTACCACCTGCTGTGGGTCAATGGAAGTTGCCACCTTCAAGGAGGAAGAATTTACTTCCAAATATTCCAGAGTTGCAGAATGTGGAAGTTGTGGTACCTAAAAATAGTGCTTCTACAAAGGCGGCTGTAATGACCAAGAGACCTTATCCCCACCACCCGCACCACCAGTAATACCTACTGTTCCCTCCAACATAGTACCTGAAATAGAAAAAGTATCACTTGTTCCGAGTAGGGTAAGTGCTGTACCTGAAAAGCCATCTGGATCAGCATCACCACGGGCTGCAGGAACTGTCATATCTATAAGTCCCACACCGTTCTGTGCACCTACAAAATACGGTGCAGCACAATCCTTGCATCCGGAGGAAAGTAGATTCTTCCAGATTGAACCACCGAAGCCTGATGAATATGCTGAGCTACCAAGTGTACCAGCGGCAAGTTCAGATCCTCAATTGGATGCCAAACTGTTTATGCCTTATGCTTTCAAGGCTCAGAAAACAGATGATGATGATCCCAAAAGTCAAACCAGTCAGTTTGATCAAAAAAAGACAAAAACTTTGAAGGTATTCCAGAACCAGGTGAAACAGACTATCAAAGCAATGGAAGAAAAGGTACGGGAAAGGGATGAAAGGGAGAAGGTATATACCTTTAACAAGAAAACTATCAATGCTTTTACGAATACATTTGGGCGACATTTGGTGCGTTTGAAGACTGAATCAAACCACGGCAAGAAGAATGCCGAGGAATATCACAAAGCGCTTTCTGAGAAGCTTCAACGCATGTCTTCACTTCCCAGGGTCAAAGAAAGTGTAGAGGCTTCAAAGACCTTCATCTATAAACCACCTATCCGAGAAAGAGCTGGTATTCGTGAAACAAAGAAACCGTCACTCTCAGAAGTGAAACGATTGATAATACGACACTTGAAGGAGACTTCACCAAGCCAGCAGGTTACGTTGAAGAGATCCAATGCAACTGCTTAAACATGACACATTCCCGCTACAATCAATCAATCCATATAATGTCAAGAGCGCAATCGTATGTGCTGCAGAAAATTAGGACATGATAGAACAACATTTGTTGCGTACGTTGATCAATCCCAACCAAATCTCGATGTGCAATCGGCGGCATTAGCTCGCATTGATTTTTGGAGACAAATTTTCAGACTGATGATCAATGAGAAGGGTTAAGGGAAGGAGGTTCCTATGTAAATTTCATGTGCCGAACTTTCACATGCATTTCGATTACGCAATTGAACAAATAAATGTTCGTACAGTGTAAATGTCCCCGTGTATCTAGGTACACTATCACTTTGGTGTTCAAATCAGTTTAATAAACGTTATTCAACATTATCTAAAGTTATTTATCAATGATATTGCCATCTATTACATTTCCTTCTAAGTAATCTACCATATGACAATATTGAGGTTACACACAATTTGAACGACGTGCAAACAAAACAAGCTTTTTTATTAAGTAAAACGTGAAAATGTCTTTAACCTGCCGAGGAATATCAATTCTAGGAAGACATTTAAAGTATCTACCAAAAACAACGCAAGGTAATCATTATCCCATTCAACTTTTTGATATCAAAGATGAAAAACATTATGGCAATGATTTTTAGTTTGCGGGTACAAAAGATGGGTTTCTCCAACATTGAAAGCCTTACAAAACAGAAAAAAGAAAATGCCTGAACAAAAACCCACACCGAGATCCTCATTTCTTGAGTGGAATTATGATGCAGAGATCTATGCATTCTGCAAGAGGTTAAATGAAGATTTTGATACAAAACTGCTCAAACAAGCTCTGACACATAAATCATATGTCTTTAAAATGCAACAACAGACACCTCAAGACAATCAGAACCCTGATGCTCTTCCTCCACCTACATTATTAGACAACAATGTGATGATAGAAGCAGGGGACAAGCTTCTGCAGAAGTACATCCAGAGTAAATTTAACTATCCAAAGATGATTGTTCAATCCATAGAAGAATACCTTCTCAATGATGAAAAATTAGCTTATGTAGCCAAGCACATTGGTCTTACAGACTTGGTATTATCAGAAGAATACCCAGTTGAAGCCACAACATTATCCAATACACTTAAAGCAGTAGTCTCTGCTTTAGAGCAATCATCAGGTCTCCCAAAAACACACAAATTCATTGATGATTTCATCATTACCCAACTGAATGACTTGGATGTGTTTGATGTGTGGGAACCAAGTGATCCCTATAAATATCTTACAGAGTCTGTCTTGCAGGGCAAAACTGTTGAGCCAAGATTATGTAATCAATCAGCAGCCAACACGATCTTAGCCAACTATCAAGTAGGTTTGTATTCGGAAGATAAAAAATTACTAGGTATTGGTTGGGGTGAGAGTGTGGACATTGCAAAGAACACAGCTGCAATGGACGCGATTCGAAAAATATATCAAATATAATTTGTGCTCTGTCGTATTCTATAGAATTGCATTAAATTACTTATGTTAATCTTTGTGTGAGTCCATTATGAGATTACCGTCTATGTCTTTCATGCGTATGCGGCCATTGGAATATCGCGTTTCTTGCAAACCATCAGCGTAGATAATTTTAACCGTGCCATCCGGGTATTCACGTCTCTAAAACACAATTACAGAAAATATTAATAATTTGTGTAATATTGAGTAGAAATTACTAACTTTATGTTTGTCAGTATGTATTTCCTTCTGACCGTTGGCGAGTAGAAGGATTTTCTCGCCATCTTGTTTAATATTGACAACAGAGCCATCTGGATAGTTGATTTGTTCGCTACCATCCGCACTCATGTGTTTCACAATACCATTTGGGAAATGTACGGTTGAGGAACCATCGGAAAGATGTTTCTCAACTTGTCCACTAATAAAATAACAAATTAACACCTTAAAACCTTATAATTAAGTAAACTTACTCAGGAAATTCGAATGTTTCATCTCCTGTAGCGAATGTGGTCTGCCAAATCTGCGTATCTTTATAAAAATATTTAATAGTTCCTTCCAACAACGCAGTTTCTTTGATATCGCCATTAAAATACTCCATTTTTACTAAATTTCCATCTGGAGATACGGTTTTAACATTGCCATTTGGATATTTTGTCTCTTTTGACCCATCAGTTAATATTGTCTCAATTTTGCTATTAGTTTGTTGCGTGTCATTCAAACTATTGTGCCTTTTTAGCTTCCCAGATGTATATTTACCTTCTGTTTGCTTTCCACGTGCACCAAACACTTTCTCGTAGTTTTCCGACACAGAAAGATCGCTTAGATTACGAAAAGTTGTTATATCTCCATTTGAGCTTTCGTTTTCTTTGTTTTCTAGCGATTTTCTTGATTCTAATGAACTCCTGGAACGATTCTTTGATTTGGGTCTAACCATTTCATCTTCCGAGTCACTTTTATAGCTGGAACGTGAATAAGACCGACGATATTCAGTTTCGTAATCATTTGAACGTCGTTTTGATTTATTACTCTGTTCATGGATTAAAATATCAGTCTCAGATGATGATTCGTCTGTAACTACAATAACTTTATGTTTTCTTTGATTTTTGTTCTTTGTTTCTTCCTCGGAATCACTAGTAATAACAATTTGTTCGTTTTGAACATGTTTCTTTGACTTATGGGACTTTATTTGTTTATTTTCCGACGGAAAAGTAGTTTTTTGTGTCGGTTTTCTTCTGGTGGTAGTTGTACTTAAAGTTATTAGTGAATCTTCTGATGAAATCTTATCTTCAATTGAATTCTCAAGTTTGTTCAAAGCTTTAGCGACTTTCTGATCGTTTGTCAACTTTGTTAGATTCTTATTAATCTCATGCAACATTTTCGTTTCATCCTGGCGTCCCTTTCGACTAACCTGCGTCTGATTTTGTAATCTAGCATTCACTTTCTGCAGTTTCTCAATTTCTTCCTTTAAATGCGCATTGTCTTTCTCCAAAGACTTAATTTGAGTTCTTAATCTCGCTTGGGTGGTTCCATTCCTAGTTTCTTTCACTTTCAAAGTTTCCTTGACATTCGCCAACTCTGCTTTCAAATTCGAAATTTCTTCACGCTCCTTTCTATTTGGTTTATTCTGTATCTCCTTTGAATATTTCTCGAACACCTGCTTCTCTTTATTAAGTTTTTTACGTTCTTCATCAAACTCACATTCTAGTTCTTCACGTTTTGAATTGTATTCCTTCTCTAGGGACTTTTTACTCTTAATTATATCCGAACGTTGTCGCTCTAAATCCGATTTTAATTTCTCTACCTTTTTGTTTTCGCTTCGAAACGATAAAATCTCGGTTTCTAGTTCTTTAAGTTTAACTTTAAGTAAATCCTCGTTAACTGTATCAATTGGATCAGTCATTGTTGCAGCGTTTTGTCTTACAAGTATTTCCGGAACAATATTCGCAGTAGTATGATCAAAATCATCCGAATTAATTGAACTCTCATCCGAATAATCATTCTGAACTAATGTGTCATTACTCTGTTGTATTTCGTGTGGATAAATCAACATTTTCTTAGCATTAGATGAATTTTTACTCTGTAAAGTATCATTATCGAAGTCAGAATAACTGTTTTGTGTACCAGTGCTGATTTTATTCGGTAAATTATGAATATCTGCTTGAACTTGAACCCGATTCATGTTATTACAATTTTCCTGTATTGTTTCAAAGCTAGGAACCTTACCTTTAGTAATTCTATTTGGAGTGCTTGCAAGTAACTCCATTACACTTGAGTTGGTTGAACAAAAACTGCTATTCATTGCTTTTTCCTCTAATTGTTCAAAAACTCTCAATTCTTTTGCTAAAGCATTCTCATAGGTAGTTAAATCACCTGGTGTATTATTCTCACACCTTTGAAGTAAATTCTGAAGATATTGAACAAGCTGTGTGTGGTTATTGTTTATTGGTGTTTGATAAATTGTACTTTCATTATCCAACAAAGTGAGTTTATTCAAAAGATCTGTTTGATCAAAGGAAGCAGTACCATCACCATTGGCAGGCCCAAAATGTTCAGTAGCAAGTCTCTGTAGAGCATGAAAAAGTTCTGGATTGTTTTGTAACATTTGCAGTCCAACATTTTGTTGAGATTCTTCTTCAGAAATGTGTGATATTCCTGGTAGGGAACCAGAAGGTAATGTTGCAGGTAATGTTGGCAGGCAAGGAGGTTCATAATCTTCTGGTTCAACTGGACACCATTTAGCTTTCTGTTTAATAGACATTTCTGGAGCTCTCAAAGGTGTAATCTTGGGTGGTGAAGCAGTTTTGATGATAATCTCATCTATCTTTTGAATATTTGGCTTACATTTTGGTTTTGAATTAGAAACTGTTGATTGCACAAACTTTTCTTCTTGATCATCTGTTTTAATTTGATTAATTCTTTTGTGAGCAGCTGTTTTATAAACTTTCAGTGGTTTCATCTTGTTGAAGGGCTTCTTTTGATCACCATACTGAAGACCATACTTTACAAGTCCAGTACCTCTTTTTAAAAAAGGTTTCTTTGTGATATTTCCAGGACTTTTACTAGTATCATCCATTGCTTCCTCATTATCCACTTGTTCATGTACTACAGATGAAATTTCTTTAGTTTCTTCTTTCTCTTCTTCTATTCTTGATTGTGTTAAATGAGGAAATAATGAATTAGCAGCTTCTAATCTTGTCTGATGTTGTTTGAGTAGTCTTTCTTGTTGAATTTGTTGCCATCGCTTTAATTCATCAAGTTTGGCCAGCAAAGATGATGGTGACATCGCCATGTTTAATATTTAATTCTCTATAATAACATAATAAACATTTAGATTAACTTATTAAAGCTTATGATTGAAAAATAACGAACTTTTGTTGAGTTTATAAGGTTATAAGTCAAACCTTTCAAAATAACATCCAAATTCGGAGTATATCGTGCTGCTTCGTAGTTTCCAAAATTAAAACAAAATTTTGTTTCTTTCAAGCTAAATTTTTCAAAATATTTTTGACTTTTGAAACGGTTTCATTAAAATTTTATGTCACTTGATGTTTAAAGAAAAATTGAATTGCAAATGGTTCTAATTTTAAGTTTTTATTCAAAAACGTTTGCAATGGTTACAAGTTTAGTGAGAACATAAATTGGAGGGAAAATAACGCATTTGTATGTTCTTCAGGTTAATATCCAACGAATACCTGAAATTTGCAAGCTCTTCTGTTTTTTCTGTATAAAATTCTTGTATAAATCCTGTTTATTTGTGAAATTTAGTTGTTAACAACAGCAAGAAAATGATTTCTGGGTGAGTCTCATCTATTTTCTATCAAATCATCACGTTATTTCATTCTCTTTTGTTTAAATTGTACTTTTATAGAAGTATAAGTTAAACATGATGTGATATTAAAATTTTCCAGTTGTTATTCTCATCAAATCTCTTCTTTTTCGATTATTACTTGTTTCTTTCAATAAAATATCAAATTTTCTCTAGATCTGATGTATGTGATAACAAAGTAACAATTGAAATCCTTGTGGACAATCGCAAGTCCGACACCATTCTTCAAAATGGCCGTGGTGATTACAAAAGCGTCCGGGATCCGCATGAAGAATATCAATATCTAGATCACATTAAACGCATCCTTGACAATGGCGAGAAGCGTGATGATCGCACAGGCGTTGGCACCTATGGCCTCTTCGGCGCACAAATGCGCTACAGTCTTCGTCACAACATCTTCCCACTTCTAACAACAAAACGCGTCTTTTGGCGAGGAGTAGTCGAAGAACTCCTGTGGTTTATCAAGGGCAGTACCAACGCCAAACTCCTCCAGGAGAAAAACGTACGCATCTGGGACCCGAACAGTACCCGCGAGTTTCTGGACTCTGTCGGTTTATCTCACCGTGAAGAAGGTGACTTGGGACCGATCTACGGTTTCCAATGGCGTCACTACGGTGCAAAATATTACGACATGCACACCGACTACAAAAACAAAGGAATAGATCAGCTTAAGAACGTTATCGAGACAATTAAGAACCGACCGAATGATAGAAGGATCATAATGTGTGCATGGAACCCAATTGATATTCCTCAAATGGCCCTGCCGCCTTGTCATTGCCTTGTGCAGTTTTATGTTGCTGGAAATGAGTTATCCTGCATGTTGTATCAAAGATCTGCCGATATGGGTCTCGGAGTTCCGTTCAATATTGCCAGTTATGCATTATTGACTTGTATGATTGCGCATGTTACTGGTTTACAGCCAGGCGAATTTATTCATACTCTGGGAGACAGTCATGTCTACATTAATCATGCAGACGCTCTGAAGGAGCAGTTACAACGTACTCCCAGAGATTTCCCGAAAATGATCATCAAACGGAAGGTAACTGACATCGAGGACTTCAAGTTTGAAGATTTTGAACTGATTGGCTACAATCCATATCCGAAGATTAATATGCAAATGGCGGTTTAAAAAGTCTTAAAGTTTGTGTCACTTGTTTGTATTTAAAGTATTATTGTGACAGAATGTTAAATTTGTTTGTGAAAAATGTAATGATTGCTTTTAAAACACTGAATGTAATGAATAAAATATCTGGAGAGCTTTAATTAAGTAGAATTTGTTAATATCACGACTAGTAGGGCTCAAATATTTATAAAATCTTCATGGAACTAAATTTAACAAAGTTTACGCTTGAAAAATGTGTGTTTTGGCGTCATCTAGCGGTGTTACTTAAGAATAAATGCTTAATTTAAACCTAGATGGCGCTAGGATGCACTTACTTGCATTAAATATAGTCTATTGGTGTCAGTGAGTGCACATAGTGTCCGTGTGAGCTATAACTTTAGGCAATAAAGTTTCGAGACAAAGAACCAGACTGATTGACGTGCAGCGGTCAGTTTTAAAAGGTTTTGTTTTAGCGAGCGTAGGATGAGTGTAAATGAATGCACAAAGGCGTTTGTTTCAGTAAAACTAGTGGATGATGACACAACTTAACATCTGAAACCAAATCAAAGACAAAATGGTTGCCATTTTTCTGCTCTTGCAATAAAATTTATTTTTTTCTTCTTTTACCGATAAACTTGCGTCAATAAATCATCCCGAAATGATTTTTGTATTATAATTAGAACTCCTTTGTATATTATCGTTTGTTTCTCGCAGTGAATGAATCGTCTTATTCACAAAATCGTATTGTAAAACGTAATTGAATTCTATTCGCCGGTCTCGCGTGTACAACCGGCCATATTATTCATCAATTAGTCAACGGAGCGTTGCAATATTTGTTCTGTACGTCCATGTAATAATACCACCGTTATCTCCGGCGTTTTTCGTTGTTTTATCTACGAGCTCGCGAGCGGCTTGATAATTCGGCGAGATAAGTTCATTCGCGGCCCAGTTACGGTTCGCGTCTAATTGGAATCGCATCGGCGTTTGAATTTCAATTAATTACACTTTGAAAAGTTAGTTTGTACACAACAAGCGTCCAAAGTGGTAGCAAAATAGTGTTTGGTTGCTGGTAGACAACAATCATGAACACAAACGGCTCTAAGTGTTATTTCTGTCATCGAGAACTACGCAACGAGACCGCAGAGGTAAAAAAAAGCTTGAATTTTATTGATTTAATAGTGATGTTGCAATGAGATAAGAAAAATTGTTGACTTAACACTCAAAACACACACAAATGTGTTGCAATTTATTTTTTGAGTGGATTTATTAATCACACATGATTTTTTTACCGTAAAACATGACTCATTCAATCAATAGCTATGATTTGAGGTTAGGTTGTGTTAAAATTTCATTGTTTTCATAGCAACATTCAGCACGTTGTGGCTACGTGCTTGAACCATGCGTCAACAAATGTGGAGCTTACATTCCACGCAACAACAGGTCCCAACACCTTCATGTTTGTCGAAACACGCGCCTGAAATCAGCAAGAAGCACTGAAAGTCTGCTTAGCGCGACAGGTTATGATACTTATCCGCGTGCCAGCCACCTTAGCAATTCAAGCAATGCCTCTTTCGTTCGTACTGGGACTTTACCTCGGAGCTATAAAGAATTACCAGGACCTAATTATCAATATCAATATCCAGAGAATGCGATGCACAACGCAGCTGGATACAATATGGCGCCTCGCGCACCGGAAGTTAATGGCAAATATGAACAACTTCATGAGAAATTCCAGCGTGGGCATCAACAACACGCGGATTTAATTCGGCAAGTTGAATTAACATTGAACAAACTCCGATTGGATGTACAAATGGTTCAGGGACAGAATAAAACTCTTGTTGATTGGCGTACGAATGTTCAATATCAATTGGATGGAATCGTTGGAGAGTTTCGAACGATGAATGCAAATAGTAAAAATGATATAAACACACATCGCCTTCAGGAGTTATCAAAGGATTTAGTTCTGTTGCGTAACTCTTTAAACAGCCAACAGGTGACGCTGGTAAACGCACAAGTCGACGCTGAAAAATTCCGTAATGATATGGAATATAAACTAAAAGAGTGTGAAAATTACTTTCGGCAAGAATTGCATAAGTTATCAGAGGTCAACGAAGGACAAACAAGACAAATTGATGTTTTTACAGCGCGGGAAACGCAATACAATGAAGTTAACCTCAATTTACGAACGGAGATTGATGCGTTGCAGAATGATTTGACGAGTTTAAAAAAACATTGCACCAATTTGGTAGAAACGAATAAATTGCAATCTGGACAAATTAATGATTTAAAAACAGCACTGGCGAAGATTAATTTGAATGTAGAGGTCGCTGAACGTTCATTTGAAAACATCCAAGGGTTAATCGCCACGCAACCAGGGAGATTATTGTGGAAAATCAATGATTTTGATATCAAATTAGAGAATGCTAAGTCCAATGAAAAGATCCCGATAAGAAGTCCTGTATTCTATACGAGAGACTACGGATATCGAGTTAGAGTAAGTTTTGAGGTTAAAATTGATTATGTTAAGTTATAACCAAACTTTTTAGCTACAAGTGCACTTAAATGGACTGAAAAAATGGCGTGGAAGACATATGTTGGCTTGTTTGCATGTTATGAAGGGAGATTATGATGATTTACTAACATGGCCGTGTAAAATCGAAGCAAATATCATTTTAAAAGACTTGGAGAATCTTGAAAAGGTTAGTAATGCTTAGATGAGTAATAATAAGATAATTTTGTGTTTCATTTTGGTTACAGCCGAAGGATTACGCACGTTACATAACCGCAAAACGTAACTATCCTGATGACATCGCAGATGATCCTCAGGAGTCTTCAACGCAGTATATTTTCATCCCTCACACAATATTGTTGAAGTCTAGTCACTTGAAAAACAACGCTGTTTTCTTAGAGATAGTTATCAACAACGCACAATAATAATAATAATTAACTACAAAAAATAGGTCATAAAATAGGTTAGGTTGCATTTTATATTTATTTTAATGATTTTTAGTCATCTGTGGTTCTTTTTTGTGCAATAACATTTTAGCCAACGCAATAATTGGCGATTCGAATGACAGCACTGAAATAACCGATAGTAAAGTTGTCAGAAAAATGTCACAAACACTGCCATGCAACTAAAACATAAATTAATAAAAAAAGTTAAATAAATTTAATTATCATATCATATTCATGCTTACATTCGGCCAGAATGACAAAAGCATCGGTGTTCTTGTCGAGCCCATGGTGAAAACCAAAACAACAACTTGTAACAAATACATACTGTAACTCAAGCGTCCCATGACGATAAACAAAGAGTTTGAGAGGAATTTATTCAATGTTTCTGTAAACAATTAAGTTAAAATCAATCTGTTGTAGATATAAATATAATATTACTTGTGTTTTGGTTGACACAGGAGAAAATCACCCATGAAACACATAAACTCCATGCGGGGCGTGAAAAAGTGACGAACATGTTGTTGTTTAAATAATCATTGGTGAAAACCGTTGTGTTTTGGATGTAATATGCACAAACACACATCGTTATCAATGTTAGCATCCAGATAACATAATAGAGTTTCTAAAAAATATATTATTAGTAAAATTAAATAATTATTTATGATTTTATTATTACTTTTGGAATTTTAAACGTGCGATCTTTATTTTCCACCATAAATAAACCCATGATAAGTCCCATAATGTACGGAGAAATTCTTGTGTGTGTATGATAATACCTAATTCATATAAATAATTTAAATAATTTAATTTAATTGTTATTATTGTAATAATTAATATTTTTTACTTACTCATATGGAATTCCAAACATTATACACATAGGAACCAAAATACTTAACAACAATGCAAAACCAAACAGGCAATAACATTTAAATCTTTCATTTTGTTGCAAAAGTCGTGTTGCAGGGATGAGAATCAGTGGTGTAAACAAATACAATTGAAAATCCACACTTAAATACCACGTGTGTGCAAGGCACTAAAAAAACAACAAATACAAAACAAAATAAAATGCATAATGATTGTTTTTCACTTACTTCTGATTGAAAGTTATTGTATTTGTAATTCTGATAGAAAAGAAAGTATGGCAGCCAGTGATCAATGCAAGGCCTACGTAATATTTCCACCATGTCCGCATACAAAGGTCCTGAAGACATGCGACGCAGGATTGTTAAATGCACGAAGAAAATCACTGTCATTGGTGGTAACAATCTAAAAAAATCATAAAATATAAAATAGTAATCGATTTAGTTCAGTTAGATGACACTAGGTGGCGCTAGTTGTACCTATACGTGAATTATATAACTTGCTAGTCAACATTACAGGTTACTTTACCTCAATAATCGATGCATATAAAAATACGGAATTGTTGGAACTGTCAATGCTAGTTTATTACGATTTTTAAAGCATTGATAAGCTAAAACAAATCCACCGAGATATAAAAATGTATCGACTGCTAAATACGCAGCTTGGACGTAAAAAGATTCATGCGAGAATAACCACTGAAAGTAAATTTTATATTACTAGTCTCAAAATGAGGTTAGGACTTACAGAAAATGCATACAACGAATTTCTGATCGGTAAGAGCTTCATAACGAAATATCTATGCGAAGCAATAATCCAAATCATGCTTATTACGCGTATTCCAGCCAAACATGAAATCTGATCAGGGCCAATCTTGGTTTCAAACAGTTTCTCGCCATTTGTAAGCACAGAAAACAAAATACAGTACGCATTTTGTTTTAGTTCGTGTTTTCGTGTGTACCAGTCGTAAACAGTGCTCAAAAACATTATGAAAGCAAACACGCCCAAAACAGTCCTAGAAATATTAAAGGTTATGTTTTTGACAGGTTAATATAGGTTATGTAGACTTACAAGAAGGTATAATCATCAGTATCTAGTGTTGTGTAGCTATCCTTGGTTTGACAGACGATTTCCTGTCCGAATGGTAGTTTGACATCGCACACTTCCGGAATGCAAGCGCCATAACCAGCAAATGTCTGCTGGAGGTTCACAATTTTAACCAAACAATACTTACCTCTAATGGCGCCCACTGGGGTTAGTTCAGAGATGTTTATGCATTGGTCGTAGTTGCCTAGGCTGACAAATTGACCGGAGAGCATTCCATCGGGGATTTTTCCCCAGGCATCAAGCACTTAAAGTGTTTTAATTCATTTTTTTAAAGTTTACTTAAATAATATAATTTCTTACTTTGCAATCTTGTTTCCTGATCATCTAGAAGCACATAGCTCACTTGATCTGCACAAGCTTTCAGTTCAAGGTCAACTATTTCAGACAACGCCATTTTAAACTCCAAGAAATAGAAAATATAACATAATATCGAACGATTGCTACGTAGACACTGAAATAATCAACTAGAAAGGTAAAATACGAAGTTTCTGTTGATAAGAAAAATATGCAAAGGCATTTTTTAAATTCTTTTGCGGATTGTTGTCAAAAACATTGATAAAGAGGTAAAAATGTCCGCAAAACACTTAAATTGGCTAATTAACGGTAACCATGACAACAAAATACATATTTTTATTACCAAATGTTGATTTTTATTAAATTAACGTAATTTTTGACTGTTTGGACAGTTGACAGCTGTCACTACACTGTCAAACATGTCAAAAATTAATATTCTAACCTAATATGACTTATAAAATAAAAATAAATATTACAGTGGTGTTTTCGATGAAAAAGATGCAAACGAAAGTGTTTTTATAGTGCGCTGACGTGAGTGTATTAGGTATATACACGCCGAAATAAGTTCGCAATGTGCGGCGTGCGACCCACAATCGCGCGAATGACGACGCGATGATGACGCCGCGGCCAGATGTCATTTACCCATAGAGCGCAAATTACGTAACGCCCGCGTGCACACGCGTGCCGTAATTGTCGGCGGCGCACTTGCGCTGCAGCGTCGTCGCGTTCTTCTGCCTTGCTTTCCGACGCCGCGCGCCGCTGCAGGAGGAGCTCGAAAGCGGGCCAACGAACGGATCGACGAACAAATTCATTTCTTTCACTCGCACGCATTCGTGACGTCCTGCTGGGATGATTACATATTTTGTCGATAGATGGCGCTGCAAGGTATGTTAACAACTAGACATGCACCGAGTGTTTTTCTTAGAAAATTTGTGTTAATTCGTTGAATTGCTGTAGTTTTTGATTGTTTTATAGTGGAAGAGGTATGTAGAGGTATGTAGATTAATAATTGTAATTTTTGTGATGTTTTTAGAGTGATTTTTAAGGATTTCGTGGTTTTTTTCAGTGGAAAACTGAAACACTTGGTGGTTGTTGCTGGCATTGATTGTATGGCAGCGATGGGAAGGACTGACGGGAGAGTGAGAAAGTGCGACGTCATGTGAGCGCATTGATTGAAAGCGAGTCGACCGAGCGAGCGCGCGCGCTGCATATCCGCGTCGGTGACGTCGTGCGGTGGCCAACGTGTTGCGCGCGCCTTTCGAAACCGACGCTCTCTCGATTGGTGCGCTCGCATGGGAAGGGTGCCGCAGCGCACAAAGCGACTCGAACCGAAAGCGCGCCGGCACCAGTCGCACCGGTCGCTTCCCGACGAGCGAGAACGCGCAGCGTAAGCGGAATGCGGTTGTGCATGTAGACGTGCAAGCGAGCGAGACGGGTGTGTATGGTTGGTGTGTGTGTGTGTGCTGAGTGTAGAGTATCGATGGTCGGGAGCAGCGCTGGGCCGAAGTGCTGCGGTGTGCCAGTGCGCGCTGCGTGGTCGCGTTCGCTTGTGCTGGGTTGCTGCTGCTGAGAGAGCTGCTGCTGGTGCTGCTGCTCACCTCAAAATGGCAGACGCGGACGCTGCGGTCGGCGGCGGCGGCGGTGGTATCGTGTGCGAGAAGTTGTGCGGGAGCGGCGTCGAGGCGAGGAGCGACATTGTTGTTGGTGGTGGTTTGAGTGCTGCGAGTGGAGGCGCGCCGACCGTGGGACACGATGTGGATATTACGCTGGATATAAACATGCCCGCCTCGCCGCACGGTGACGACTGCAGGAAGAAGCGATGTGTGGACCGCTACGACAGTTCCGAATCCTCCGATAGGTAAGTCACACTGAATATATTACGCAAGTGCATTGTCTCGATTTCATCCCGAAATAAACAACAACAAACTCGGCCAGCAGCCAAAAATAACACAATCGCAATCAAAACAAACACGAGTCACTGACATTAAATTACATACATACATATACACATATCTATCATATTTGTGTGTTATCCATGCAACAATTCGAAAACAAAATGTCTTCCCAGAGTGTGGTGTGTGCGGTGTGGTGCACTTGGTGCGGGCATTCTCGTATTTTATATCCGTCTGCCCAACGCGCCGCACCACGTTCCTTCTGTGTGCTATTCCGCGCCGCGTAGAAATAGACGTGTGTGTTGCGTCGTGCACGTTTCACGTTTTATCGCATCGGATGCACACACACACACAGGCAGACCCAGAAAACTGGGAGTTGAAGCAAAGGTGGATTCGAAGAGGAGGGTACCCCAAAGGCCTAAAATATCCCCCAAGCGAGAAAGCATTTGGCTGTTTAGAGGTGTTTTTACTCAGTTTTTTTGTTTCCTTCACGAGCAACTCGAGCAGAAGGGCGAAGGAAATATTTTTTTATAGTGAAACAGCATTACCGGGGCGGTAAAAACTGTTTTACAGCTCTAGGGCTGTTAAAAATATGTAAAAAATGTTAAATATTGCATGAAAAATGTAATAAAAATAGTTTTTTCTTATTTTTTTCTTACATTTTATGTTAAATTGTCATTAAGAGGTCGATAAACACTTTTACGGCCCTAGGGTTTCAAAAATATATTATAAAGGTGTTTTTTTGATATATTTTTCTTATTTTCACAAACAATTTGAGGAAAAGAGCGAAGAAAACTTGTTTTTGCAGTAAAAAAAACATTAGAGGGCTGAAAAAATGCATTTACAACTCTAGGGCTGTTAAAAACATGATAAAAATTTTAAATATTGCATGAAAAATGTAATAAAAATAGTTATTTTCTTATTTTTTTCTTACATTTTATGTTAAAATGCTATTAAAAGGTCGATAAACATTTTTACGGCCCTAGGGTTTTAAAAAATATATAATTCAGGTGGTTCTTCATCATTTGTTTGTTGCTTTCACAACCAATCCGAAGAAATGAGTGAAGAAAACTTGTTTTTGCAGTAAAAAAACATTAGAGGGCCGAAAAATGCATTTACAGCCCAAGGGCTGTAAAAAATATTGCATATTGCATGAAAAGCTTAATTTAGGTGTGTTTTCCTCATGTTGTTCTTACCGTCACAATTTACTCAAGCAGAAGCACGAAAGAAGCTTATTAATACTTTTACAGCTCTAGGGCTGTAAATAATGTCTTAAATGTTGCATGGAAAGTAATATCGCATGTTGAAGATGATTAATAATAAGGAAGCATGCAGCATGCGGCCGTTGGCTTCATTTTGACTTTGGGATTTGCTTATTTATTTATTTATAAAATGTAATTATATACATTTAGCATTCATGTGGAACTATAGGGCTAGTAGCAGCCGGCGTGGAATTCTCGGCGGCAGCAAAGTAAGTAAATTGCCGACGACTTCTCGGAAAATGGACGTGTGCGCATGTGAGAGAAAATTATATGCATACTACGCTCTGTCTACGTCTATTTAGTTATTTACTTATGTGTGTGTGTATTCACATAGTTGAGATGCTAGTGCAACGCTCACGCATTACTCAAATAGTTATTAAATTGTTTGCCATTTGGTAGGGTTCACTGTGCACTGTGGTGTTTTGCTTTTAATTTTAATTTTTATGTATATTAATGCATGCAAATAATTAAATTAAACTATTTATTTACGTGTTGTAACGTTTTTGTTTTCTGTGTGTACTTGGCTTTGACTCTGAACTGTGATTATTCAATGGTATTGCACAAGCACCAAGTTGTTGCCGAAATTATATTCTTGCTCGTCGAATGAAAGCACAAGTTTACTTTTGCTTGGTTTTGTGGAACAATATAAAAAAAAAACGCGTACAAGTTCAAGTTTAATCCACATAAAAATTTATTTTGTTGCTGCCTAATTACCAGTCTGCGCTCGTCGGACGTAAATTATTGTTATTCGTTTGTAGTTGTTGTGTTTTTTTTCCTCTTCATTCCGGTTGTCTTTTTGTCCGAAAAAAATTCCGTTGCGAGCATCTGATATCCATGGGACCCCTCGACACCCATTGCGTATAATCACGATGGGTCTCTCGGCTTGGGCCTCGGCTCATTCTCTATCCTACCTCTTTCTTTCGTTTACTAATTCCGGCTAGCTGTCTTTTTCTCGTGCGCTGCGCGCCGCCGCATGTTTTCTTCGTTTTTACATTGTGATGTGCCGTTTTGCCGCTTTCCTTCTCTCTCTCTCGGGTTTCTCTTTTTGTTGCTCGCTTTTTGCTGCGTTTTAATTCTTTTAATTCTTGTTCCTACGTGGCTAGACTCTGGCCGAAGTAGAAGAGAGGTTCGTTCACTCGCCGCGTGCGCCTTTCGGGCACAGTTTGAAGAACGCGAAGAAGTCGCATGTGGGCTTGGCGGGTTATGCACAGGTATAACAACGGAGGAATAAATTTTCGGGAATTAGTGCGCGCGAATTCCAATTTCAATGTGGTTTTTAACAGGAACTCGATGAGTCAAAATTAAAAACCGAAATTACCAACATTGCCCACTTTTTCTCTCCCCGCGTTCGCCCGACATGATGTACGGTTGTAGGCTGCTGTCATTAATTATGAGACCCTTCTGGGCTGCGAAGGGTAAAAATGGAGCGCCGCTCGAAAATTGGTTTGGCGGTGATTAGATTGGGAATCAATCGATCATGGTGTATTCCGGTGTTCGGCCGCCATGTGTAAATTGCCAAAAAGCGCCCGCTGCAGGCGGAAATAGCGCGCTTTGTACTTTAGGCGTCGCTTTGTGTTTTCTACGCGCACCCTTTTTCTGTTTTAAACACACTCTTCTACTACCTACATCCTAGTAGTAGCTGCGACAATTATGTGCTAACAGGATCTGTATTGGTTTGTTTAACATTGTGGCTGGAAAGCTTTTTGGGGATCACGCTCAGCGGAGTCAAACGATATTGCCAAAAATACGACGTGCACACATCAAAGTGCTTTTTTTTCCTGGTCTTCTCATATGGTATATATATGGTTATAGGCATAAAGGAACTAAAAACGAGGGTTAACGCGGAAATAGGCTGAGATGAACAGCGAAATGTTACCGTTAGGAAAATGGTGGATAAAAAAAACGAGGGGCCGAGGCGGCTCACTCCTGGCAACGCGCGCAGAAAGAAATCATTAGTTTCCGAAAATCGGGGAATATAGGGAAGTGACGAGAGGACGAAACTCGGGCGTGTAGGGGACGCAAAGAATGATGAAGAAATGCGTTGTTGCTGTGGTGCGGCGGACGTCGGCGCCATCACACTGATAGGTGATAATTTTTAGGGCTTCGCAAACGCTGTTTTGATTGGGATTGATTAATGAAACTATAAAAGTGTGCTTTACACGATGTTCGCAACGGGCCTCCGGGCTGTTTAATTCACTAATGAAGATTTCCTTGCGGGACATTAACGAAAATGCTTTTTTTTTGCGCATCCGAGTCATAGCGCACGATTACAATGACCCACACACCCACCTTTTGAAACTAGTGCGCACTTGCAGCCGGCGGAACAATGTTTGCTCCGCTCTTAGGAGTAGAGTTCAGTTCTTCGCCTACTTGTCGTTTGTTTTTGTCGTATGTGTTTGCTTGGCGCTCCGCTCCGGTGTACCGCCGCAGGGTTAGCGTCCTCGCGTCCTCTGGCGCAGCGTTAGTTTTAGTACCTTCGTGTTACAACGTCACGTACAGCTAGCTGGAACTTGGAGTGCAGCAGGCCTGAACGGACAAAACCATCTAGCTGCAGCGCAAGAAAAAACTAGGCACACACAACAAACAAACACAATGTTCTTTAAAGGTTCCCAAATGAAAAAGTGAATTGAATTGAATAGAATCATATTGAATCGATTTGTTTCGATTGTTTTTCTTGTATTTACCGGAAGCATGGGAATATTTGTTTTTTCACCCCACCCTTGATAACCATCAGCATCAAATTTGTACGCTTTTAATTAAATAAAATCACAAAATCCCGATATGAAAATCCGGATTAACGTTGCATGTGCACAGGGGTTCACTAGTTGTGTGGATGTAATTGCTGGGTGAATGCAAGAAGTGACACCCTTGTTTGTTGCGCTGCAGTTACACATTACACAGTTTAGCTGTCGACTCCCCTATAAACCCAATGGGCAGATGGATTTTTTTTCGGTGGAGGCTTTTTCCTCCTGCTGCTGCCGCAGGGCATGGGGATCAATCGCAGGATTAGTCGCTGGCACGGATTTATACTCTTGCTTGTTCCATCTTCTTTTAGTCGTGTGTATTGGACTTGCGCAAAGAGCAGCCGCGTACAGAAACCCATCAATAGAGTCGGCTTGTGGTGGTGGTGGTGGTGGAGTAGGAGGAGGAGATGCGCGTGCAACGGCAGCTGCGGAAGAATGAAGTGCGTAGAAGATGGAATGGGTGCGTAGAATGCACATTCTCTCAGCTGAGAGCACGAAGGGACACCGACATGCGAGTGCGTGTGCGGCGCACGTACGCCTCATTCATGTTATCTTCGTCTGGTGCGCTTATGAGTAACTTCACGGTCGATGCACATGCACTCATCTGCTTTGATCGTCATCACCTAAATTCTCGGTACTGGAGGTTTTTCTATGGAAGTACTACGATTGAGTGTTCTTATATCACGTATTGCTTACACCGCCTTTTTTACAACACTTCCTCTTTAAGTTTTACTGAAAAAATTTAAAAAGAGTTTAAAATCTGTTTGTGTTTACTCTTTGATTATCCACTTGGTGAAAATGGACGCGCGTGGAAGGTGCTAAAACAATCCGATGTGTGCGTAACTTGAGCGAATCCAATTTATGCAGAAAAAGTGTGGCATATGTAAGTTGATCCACTCGGCCCTGCGTAGTTGAATGAACCAAGGGCTTTACCGAATGAGAAATGAGAGGGTTGGGATG